ACTCGCCACATTTTCTGAAGTCTTTGACTTCTTCCTTGGCTTTTTGGGAATGCCCATCCCACCAGCAGCACCCAAAAATTTGTCCATCTTAGCTACAAAATAACAAAAATGTTAAAAACAAAAAGTTAGAACTTAACTTCTACACATATAACATAAGGTACAAACACACCTACACTCATTGAGCTCGGCCCATAGAGCTCGGTTGCTTCCATAACATCTAAGCTGGTGAGAAACATAATATCCACCATATCACCCTCCTTTCTCACCAACTTCTCCACTTCTTCCTCCTCATCGCTATTTAAACTATACTTATTCTAGTTGGCCTTTTTAGCCTTCCAGGTAGACAAAAACTCTACTTCACCATCCCCCCTCTTCCACTCAATGTCATCAACAAAGCAAAAATTTTCCTTCCATCCCTTAATGGATGAAGGCTCTGCACTAAACAAGTTCCTCTTTTCTTTGTAGGACAACTAAGGTGTAAAATAATACCACCCCTTCTCTTTTCTACTCCTAGCCTTAAGTACAAAAAAGTATTTAAACATATTCACCATGGCCACCTTAACCCCCCTAGCTCGGCAATATACTATAAATCCAATTATTACTCTCACTACTTGGGAGCTAATTGGGTCAAACCTATGCTATACTCCAACAATAACCACACCAACAACTTTGGCATTGGAAACCTAAGCCCTGCTGCCAAATAATGAGCATATATAGGCATCCAATGATCCTATGGTGCCGAGCATGCCCCTTCTTCCACTCCAACAGGCCTAATCAACACTTGGGGAGGAAGGTCATAGGTTTCAACTAAATAAACGAGGCTATCCCTTGTACCCAATTCACTTTCATACTCGTTCACTTCGGAGACAATATCCGCCTCTATATCATAACACCTATCAACTCCATTATCAATTTCTAAAATATTTGGGGGAATACCCTCTCCTTCACCCTCACCCTTAACTATCTCCTGTCCACCCATCTCTCCCCCTGTTCTCTTTGATCCAAACGACCCACTCTCCATACCCACATCATTGTACTCCAACATCCTTACTTCACTCCCCCCAACGCTCAATGTTTCCTCAGAAGACATCTCTTCAGTCTCGTAACTTTCACTGCACGAAGTAGGAGGGGGGATGTAGTTAGGATCTTCAAAAAATTCCAACTCACGCTCAATGTCACTTTCACTTCTAAACCTAACCTTCTTAAGAGGACTTAGATTTAAGTCAAAAGGGGTGAAAGGAGAATAAAACTCTTCACTAGAATTAGAATCACTAAAATTTACAAGTTACTTGATTTCAACCTTGTGAAATTTGCGTAGAAGTCAAAAAACAAAGTGCAAAAACTAGAACATACAGGCTCAGATGAAGTTGTAGTAGCACTTCAGTAGCAAATACAACAAAGGTAAAATATTTTTTTACAGAAGTATAGCTATATATACCAAAGCAAATATGCACTTCAATGGTTGTGATTAATTTGATCTAACGGTTACAATTACAGCGCTTTCAATTTGATGGTTCAATCCTAATGGAACCCTTCCGAATTCAACGATTCAATTTCAGTTGCGTCTCTTGAACTATTGCAGTTGCTTTTTAGAGCCGTTATTTATTGTACACGTCTTTCTAAAGATAGCTGTCATATCACGTACTAACTCTGTGTCAAGCTTTTCAAATCGGCCCAATAAAACCCAACCCAAATCCTTTTATTTCTGCAAATATCTCTCACCATGTGAAGTGTTTTACTTCAGTTTTGGCCATAGTGACCCCGATCACACATTTTACTTCAACTCTGGCCATAGTGACCCTGTATCACATATTTTACTTTGACTCTGGCCATAGTGACCCAGTATCACATATTTTATCTCGGCTCTAGCCACAGTGACCCTATGTCACATATTTTATTTCAACTCCGGCCATAGTGACTTCGAGTCACACATTTTACTTCGGCTCTGACCATAGTGACCCCGTGTCACATATTTTATTTCTACTCCAACCATAGTGACTCCAAGTCACACATTTTACCTCGAATCTAGCCACAGTGACCTCGTGTCACATATTTTATTTTATTTTGGCTTCGGCCATAATGACCCCTAGTCACATATTTTACTTCGGCTATGGCCTCAATGACTGTGTGTCAACGTATTTCACCTCGATTTCAACCTCCGTGGCTATGAGTCACCAATTGTACTTCGGTTATGGTCATAGTGACTTTGAGTCAACAATTTTTATTTTAGTTATGACCCTAGTAACACAACTCATATTTCATCATTTATCTTTCCAAATAATTATACACTACTCTTACCACCTCCAACAACATCATTTATCAACCTCGGACGTACTGCTACATATCATTAATAACCGAATTGAAGGATAAATCCAGCACTTCCCGGTCAAACAGCTATATGACACGTACAGTGAGCGTGTCCACACCTGATTTCCCAGTCCCGAGATCATTTCCTAAAAAGATACGTCAGACTTCGATTATCTTATTAAGCAAACCACGTGGACACCTCATTAAAGCTTATAAATACCCCTCAAGGACCACCTCAGATAGGTAATTAAAACCAACTTAAAGCTCCTTTTTCCATTATTGTAAAGGTAGATCCAATTATTGCTGACTTAAGCATCGATTGCAGGTTTATCCGGACTGAAGATACGAACTGAAGAAGGACTCCTGGTTTGGTGCAATTACAAGAAGGCTTCTACTAGAGAAGAGTGACCCAAAACTCGTAGCACAACGGCTGGGGCAACGCTCGAGAGAATATATTATTTACCCCAAAACGCTAATTAATAACATATACACCAATTTCCTATCTATCTACTTCAATATTTTTGACAAGTATTTACATCAGATATGATTTCATATGAATTTTTTTTTTAAAAAAAAAAAAGAACCACAATCAGTTCCAATAACTAGGGAATTTATCAGACGTATGAAAAATTACATGTATATGAAGCTGGTAAATCTCAGCCAATTTTGTTACAGAACAACATGTGCAACACTTTCCACCTCAAAAAGACTATCTGGACACAAGCATAAATTGTATACTCTTTATCGCCCTGACATAAGATTGACAAGAGCTTGATTTTCATAGAAAGAACCAACATCCCAGTCCTCAGTTGAGGATGAAAGTGTCATCAAAGCAACAACAATTGATCTCATACTTGGTCGTAGTTGAGGATTCTCTTGAGTACATGCTTTAGCAAGCTGAGTCATCTACAACCGAAATAACAAGCGTTGCTTTATAGAAGTAAGATCATAAAAACTGAATTGTAGCATATCAATGCACTATAAGTTTAGTCTCACCTTCCGAACTGAGTCTAGTGGGTAGTTATCTCCAAGCCTAGGATCAATGAGTTTACGAAGATCTTCCCTTTGGTCCGGCTGATTCAGAACATCCTCAAACTGCATAAAGCAGAAAGTTATTCAAGCAAGGTCATTGATGCTGTATCTGAGGCAATTACGGGCACTTCTTTTTTCTTTTTTTTTTTTTGATGAGCAATTATGATCAATTTGTAGATAGGCAAATACCCAAAATGAGTTTAACATGTGGAAACTAATTTACTCATCTATGAAACCTTTGCATTAATTGAAGTGGGGGAATTCAAGGCAAATACACTCATGAGTTTAACATGTGGAAACTAATTTACTCATCTGTGAAAACTTTGCATTAATTGAAGTAGTGGAATTGAAAGAAACCTAACCAGAGCAACGAGCCCCTTTGATTCAGCAGCAGGACCATTTGTCTTGACAATAGCTTCTTTAGCAGAAACAAGTTCATAAAGGACAACCCCAAAGGCATATACATCTACTTTAGGAGACACATCACCATACTGAGCATATCTGGAGACAGGCACCATACAAAGAATTCAATCATTTTGCAGTTTATGTGGAAGCAATTGCTTTCTTTTTTTCCAATAATACATACAAAATTTCTTTCTAATGCCAGCAAATAGAAAATTCATCCTTTCAATTTTTGAAGAAAAACAAAAAAGGATTATTATCATAGAATTGGAATACTGTTCCTTAGATTTTTGCCTGATGCAGAAAATTGCAGGTTAGTTGATTACTATGGAAAAATTTCCGCATGGAATCAAGTATGGCAGAAATACATTCCATATGTTATACAGTATTTACGTACAAATTTCAAAAAGGAGAACTGATAAAGATATTATAAGATATGATTCATATAATTATGAGGGTTAATCTTAAATTTTATTATATGTTATTAGGGTAGGTCTAGGGTTTCTTGGTTAGTAGGTCACCTAATGCCTATACAAAAGCTAAATATGTACTTAGTTTCAGATCATTTGATAATATTTCAGTATGCCCTTCTTTCAGTTTTTCCTTCTCTCTTTTTTCCAAGCTTTAATTTCTTCTATATGGTATCATAGCTACAAGCTTTACAACATGAGATCCTAATTTTTCTTTCACTTCCGCAATCCTTTTTTGACTTTATTTTCTTTTTCAGCAATTTCTCTTACTATTAGTGTCTCCTAATTTCAATTAAAAAAAAAAAATGAACTCCCTTGATTTGATTTTCAAACCCCCTTAATTGATTTTAGCCAAAACAATGCCTCTTGGTTTGTCCAATTCAATTAGCTCAAAACATATTCATAATGAGCCAATTTTCTCTCAACAACTTGGTTGAGTTGATACCCACTAACTTAAAATCCTTGATTTGGGGTCAAGGTTAGAGGTTCAAAGCACCCTCTGATGTATATTTTCTTCTACTTTGATTTTTTGCCAATTTCATTTTCTTATACCACGTCACTTTTTCTAATAAGCCTTCTATTTGAAATTGTTTTTTCCGTTTTCAACCTCCATTGCAGATGTTGACTTCTTCTATTTCAAATTCTTCTAATTCTCTTTCTCTAGTTTTTCACAATCCTAAATTACAATTCTCCCATTCAATATTTTATGGTTTTCTCCTATCTCATCATCTGCTACATCATTTTCTATCAATTTGGTTTTCTAATATTTCTTTCTAGGTCTGCTTAAATTCTTAAGTTTCAGCTTCAATAAACAAAAGGTTCAAGGTGTTTCTAGCTTCAAGATTTCTTTTGTCTTCTCACTCAAATATTGGCTGTAAGATCTAGAAACATTTTGTGATTAGTTATGGATGCAATATGGAGATTTGCTGTGTTTGCAAATTTAAGTTTGTTAAACCACCTTAAGTTTGACAGGGATGATAGAGATATTATAAAATATGATTCAAATAATAATGGGAGTAAATCTTATAAAATTATACGTTATTAGGGTAAATCTAGGGTTTCTTGGCTAGTAGGTTATCCAATGCCCATATAAAGCTAGTTATGTATTTAGTTTCATATCATTCAATAATATTTCAGTATGCCTTTCTTTCAGTTTTCCCTCTCTCTTTTCCATGCTTTAATTTCTTCTATAAAAACAGTCTTCTCCTTTTGCTCATAAAAACTGTACATCCTACATTGATAATGTAATTGCTTGCATCTACAGCTTATTTTATTCATAAAATAATGTCAAGTGTTAGTCTTCTTGGAGCTCCTTGAAGAAGCCAGGCAATTTTTAGTAAAAAGATGAAAGAACGTAAACCTGTTCTAAGTTGATTTAACAAAAAATTACATACCAGAAGAATAAATTATGGGGAAGCACAATTATGTATAATCCTTATAGGAAATAGAATGAAATAAATTTCTTATTGTCATATTCAAATTTATTGGTCTTTGTGGCAACGTTGTTATGACTCTCAGGTTATGGTCTTTCTAATAAGATGCTTCATGCCAACAGGACTAAACAAGGTATAGGTATATGACAAGCATCATCTGGCATGATACTCATGAGTAACTCCTGATGTCATCTAGTCATAAATTAAGTGACAACAACAGGATAGTTGCTAGATATCCTAGAGTAGCCTCCTTAATGACAACAAATTTACTATTACTGAATTAATTACAAAAACTAAATCCCAGTTTTGCACTAAGATTAAATATGATACTGCTTTCTAACATCTAAGATGAATGAGCCTTTAGTAAATATTAACCAAGTCAAGAGTTCAGAGAAGACACATATTGAACTCATACCTTTATTCCTTAACTATACTTGATGAATTTTTCATTTCCTTTATAAATCAGTGAAAAATAGAAATTTATGAAATTTATCTTACTCAGGTGGCATGTATCCAAATGTTCCCACAAGACGTGTTGGAAGAGATGGACGAAGAGATGTAGGAAGAGATGCACTTCCAACTTCAGTCAATTTTGTTAAGCCAAAATCTGCAACCTGCAAGGAATCTGGTTCAGTACAATACAAAGAAGCTTTTAAATGGTCAACCATTGCCACAAAGAGAAAAATGTTACCTTTCCATGGAAGTTCTTATCTATCAATATATTTGCCGATTTAATGTCACGGTGGATATAAACAGGAACAGTGTGCTCATGAATATATTCAAGACCTCTTGCTGAGTCAAGTGCAATTTGCACCCTAGTAGACCATGAGAGTGGTTCCCTTCCTGGAAAAAGTATGCTCATGAATAACCATAACAAATATTCTGGCTCACTGCCCATTAGAGAGAATTTATGCATATATAACCTCACCTGAACCACGCAAATGCTGGCTTAGGTTGCCATTTTCAATGAATTCATATACTAGGAAAAGAGAACTTTCAACACAATATCCAATCAAGCGCACCTGCGTTGTATGCATTGTTTCAATAGATAATTTACAAAATCAAAACTTACGAGAAAGGAATGAAAAGAATAGAAAGAGATGTGAAAAAGAAAAACTGAAAAGACAAAAAATTCTGGGGTATATATGAGGCTAGTGTAATGCAGATTGTCCTTCCAAATTTTTGTCTTTTGGGAGGATCTACTTAAACACTAACCTTATAATTTATATGTTCAAAAACGTACTGTTGGACTAAATATTCTATTCATGTAGATCATATATATCAATTTTTAAATTGATCTAACCCTTTCATCATAGAAACTCTATTTACTAACATAAATTTAACCATGTTGAATTTGTGTAATCAAGGAACTAGTTATGTACATTAGATCAATTTGAAAATTGACATGCATGATCTACATGACTAGAACTTTGAATCCAATGGTTAGTTTTTAAAAATATTAATTAAAATATAATGTTTTTGGAGATGACCTCTAGGATGACATCCTGCAAAACACTTTTCCCATATTTGAACTATGAAAATTGTAAATATAAAAGAAATTGTCTCTTTGAGCATTAAAATCAGCAGGTTTCCTAAACTTCTTAAGTTTTTGCATTAAATTGCTTGCATTGGGCATACACAAGGGTTTGTTTGCCTTAAGCAAAAACAAGGATGCTGCTGCTGCTGCTGCTGCTGCTGCAGTAATTCATAAAGTTGGCACACCATGTCTGAATTTACTCATCAAGTCAGCAGATTTTTTTTTTTTTAAAAAAAAGAAACTTGTCTTTACTTGTGGACCAAAGGTGCCTCAGCCTCACTCATCATACAATAAAAATGGCCTCAGCCTCATTCATGGTATGATAAAAATGTTCTCTATGTTAGAAAATATAGATCACATTTGTAAAACTTGCTTTCTAGTTAATTCCAGTCAATTATTTAGAAAGATACCCTACATTCCATTGTCATCAGCTCATGAGAAATTGCAAAAACAACTGCACTAAAGTAATACATACAAGCATGATGAAAGGAACGTCCATTACCAGGTTCAGGTGATGAACATGTGTCAAAACTTTTAACTCAGCCAGAAATTCTCTTGTTGCTTCCATATCCATCTTCTTGATTGCAGCTTTCTGGACAGGAAGCAATGAAGTATTAAGAAAATGAATATGGTAAACTAACATATGAAATAAATCAACATGACATGGCAAAGATAAACTGATTTTTTTTTACTCATTAATATTCCATAACAAGCATTAAACAATGTAACATGCAAATTACAAAAGGGAATATGCATGTGTAAAAGGTAGAGAATGGGGTGAGAAAAAGGATGGGGGAGGTTCAATTTCACGCTAATCCAACTAACACAACTCCATCCTTCCATAATATTCATTTAGTACATTAACTTCCTATTCTTTCCCATCTACCACAGATGCTCATCTTAACTCAACCATGCATCTCACAACAATTGGCAGCCAAGTACACAACTTGACTAGCAAGGATGAGTTCTAGTCAAATATCCTCACCGAAGAACAATACCTAAATTGTGACAAAATCGATATCTATTTACAAAATCAACTGGATATCATGTGAAGAAGTAACTTTGTAAATTTACATCTTTTGAACCACATATTATTTCTTATTGAGTTTTCTTTTCTTCTCAATAGCAATTTAAGCTTCTTGAGCCTAAAAATGATTTCAACAGTCATTGACTCTAAACCTGTCCCATCAAGACATTTCTATATAAATGACACAGGGCTCAGAGTCTATCTGTTTACCAAGTCATGGTTCTCATGCATATATTGAACCTTTTCTGAGCAATTCAGGCAAGAAGCAGGGCTAATAACCCAAGTAACATACAAAAATCAGATGCACTGAATGAGCGTTTGCTGAACAATTCAACCAAGAAGTGGAGCTAATTACCCGAGTAACATACACAAATCAGATCCACTGAAAAAAAAAAAAAAATTCAACAGTTCACTAATAACAAATAATAATGCGCATGGGAACCTACATACCTCACCTCTCAGCTCTGCATAGTAAACAGCTCCAAAGCCGCCTTCACCAATCTTATTAGCCATACTGAAGTTATCAGTTGCCTTGGCAAGTTCCTCATAAGAGAATTCAACTGACTTGTCTACAGTGACACCTGTAAGGCCTGGAGATGCTCCGAGAGCACGGGCTGATTCTGTTGCTTTATCAGGAGCTAAACCAAAATTTAAAGAGAAGGGAAAATGAAAATAAAAATAGAAAGGGTAAGAAACCAGTCATTTAGTATCAATGGACTTTTATTTTCAAGAAAAAATGAAAAAGAAGTGAATCTAAGAAAGAAAGACAAAAGGATGGGGTAGAAGGAAGGAGGGTAGTGAAGAAAAGGAGGAAATACCTTGTCCACCCTGAACTGACATGTTCTGAGTATTTGTAGAGAGCAGCATTGACTCTTTCACTTTTTTCTTTCGGTAAAACCCGACATATAAACAACTGCCGAGCAACAGAAACCCAGCTACAGCTCCTATTGATATCCCGGCAATAACACCACCAGGAAGTCCTACATGTACAGAGGCAAACTATAAATTCAAATTATTATCAAGTTTTATTTTCGCCATTTAAGATCAATATCCTCAAATGAAAATGAAGATAATCATCACAAAACCAAAATGCAGAGAGATCATGCCACCTGTGCTGCAAAAGGGAAAGAAAGACCATAAAACAAAATTAGCTATTTATGAAAAAGACAAAAAAAACTTGTACAAAGAATCAAGTTGTAAAAGCTACCTTGGTTTAAGAGGTCGAAAACTACCATTGGCATCTGCAAGAGTATAAACTTTGGTTAGTCAAGTTATAGGAATTGATATACCCATGCAGCTGCGTTCTTGATGCTAATAAGTGATATAGTGCACAAACAAGTCAAGCGCGTGCAAAAAATTGATCAAATTAAGCTATCCAAATAATCATCGGACCACTTAAGTTATCGTGCTTTACTCTAAGATCCAACAAAAACCATTTTCAATTACCTTTTACCCTGAAAAACACAATTATATTCTCAAAAACAAAAGCATAAATCAAACATCCATCTGCCCACGATAATGAAATTTAAAACCCTAGCTTTAAAAGACAATAAGTCACCTTCGCTGGGAACATACACTAAGCCACTCCCTCGACTAAAATTCACATCTGGATTGTAGCTCCGGACCAACTCTGCCATATCAGCTGTGAGATTCGTCTGATTAAGCACCGAATCCAAAGTATCCCCAGGTAGGAGTGGGTAGCTGATAAACAACCCGTAATCCATGGAAACCGTTCTATTCCCACACGAACAATTAACCATCACATTGAGCGACCCATTAGTATCGGGTAAGTTGTTTGGATTGTAGTTATTGAACTGCTGCAACTGGGCAACCGTGGTCAAATTCGCATAGTACTCCGTGGCGATCTTATCGTAGGTGTCACCTGACCGGATCGAGTACGTGAACACGTGGGCAAGGAATTCACCGTTGATGCAATCGCAGGGGAAGGGGATCTTAACCCTTGTGCCCGCTAGGACGCTGTCTTTGTTGGCTAACTGCTTGTTGTACTCGAGGATTACATCGAACCCATTCGCCGGCACAATCGAAGACTGCAGAACCTCGGCTATGAAGGTGAGATTTGAACCTTGCCAAACGTAGTACGATGCTAATGCCAAATCGCATCCTCTGCTGCAACTCGATTGTACAACGAAGGGAAGTGAAATTAAGACCATGAGGGCGAGACCCAGTAATTCGTGAATCATTTGGATTGGAAAATGGGAATTATAGGATCGAGAAGATGATAGATTGAAAGAATTTCGGTGGGGAAATTGGAATTAAGGAAGATAGCAGAAGAGAGAGTTGAAGGGTTCGTTTGATATTTTGGACCGTTGACTAGTTGCGTCTGAAATTTTTAATAAAGAAATGAAGCGGATTGAAAGTTGACAAATTGTTGGCTTTAACGGGTCAGAGACAGCACAGTATTCGCGTGGGTTTTTTGTCCGAAGGGATGTTGGTGGCGCCTTGGCGGTTCTCCTAAAGTACGTGTAGTTTACGCACTAGCTAATTGCGCGGGCGAGGAGGAAAACGTGTCTGTTTAATTTAACCACTAATCTTTTAAGTTAAAAATGTAAAGTTGTAGTCCCTAAGCTTTTAATTTTGATTATTTTTAATTTTTGAATTATTTTAAACCTTTTTCTATCCCTTATACATTTTTTTTATCTTTCTATTTGTTAAAACCATTAAATTAGTCTAGTTGACACTTTCTTTCTTTTTTTAATGATGTAGAAATTACAACTAATATAAAATGTTTAATTGGATTAAAAATTAAAAAATTTTAACTAATAGAATAAAAAATTTGCTATTCCCAAATGGCAACTCCCTTGCTCCTCAAGCAAAATTTTGAAGTAGCTCATGCAATTTAACTTAAGTTTTATTAGAAAATCTCTTTTACCAAGAAGAGAATAAATGCATTCTTTAAATTTAGTCTCTGAGTACTTGTGAGAAAAAAAATTATCTCAAGATTTAAATAAATAGTTTTAGAGTGTATATAAAGAAGCCATGGTTGACCATCTTTCTGGTTTTACTTTAACATTATCTTTTTCATCTTTAGATTAATTTTTTTTTCCATGTAATAATACACTAAGAATGAGATATGAGTTGGATCTTTTACACAGCATAGGTAGTGTGGTTCAGATTACAACCACTTGTAACTTGTTTGAGGGGAATGAGAAAATTTTCCTTATTTATGTAACAAAAAATTGAAGGGAATATTTTGCTTTAATTTTTTTTCTTGAATTTTCCTTCCATTTTTCTCCTTTCCTCTCCCCTTTCTTTTGATTTCATTTTTCTTCCATTTTTCTTATCTCCCCTTCCCTTTTCACCATTTCCCTCAAATCAAACAAGGGTAAAGCATGGAATAATTAGGAATTTAGGAAAAACCTACATTTATGAAAGTCCACTTCTATCGTGCCTTCTCAAACCCAACATGGCAAGTTTTGACCCAAATCATTTTAATTAGTATTACAGAAGTCACCTCTTGTAGATGTGAGTTCATGTAGACCACCATGGTCGATGGTAGTGTAGACCTCACAACACTTGGGGTAAATCTTGTGCTTGTGGCTTAATGGGTCTTGCTATGATTGTGATTGGTCTTGATAAAGACATCAAGCATTTAAGTGGAAGAGATCATGACACCTCAAATCCCACATTGTGATGGAATTGTGAATGTCATTGATATATAATTAGCATGACTAATCACTACTAACAACTTAAGTTTAAACTTTTAAGAGACCTATAGACCTTGGCACAAAGAGTTTTTTGGCCAATGGTGGGCTTTGGCTCAATTTGTTTCATCTTTTAGATGGCATGACTTCACATGCCTTTTGATATGTCAAAGGAGGATCAGTGAACCTTGATTGATACACCCTAGTGGTTCTACCAAATGTTCCAACAAAGGATAGTTTCCTAAAAAATTCTTAAATGGACCTTATCATGTAAGTTTAGGTTTATAGTGTGCCACCTATTTTGTTAAGAAAAAGAAGAAGAAGAAAGAAAATAAGATGTTCTTGATGACCCTTTCCTTTCAAGCAATCGACCTTCGATAAGATGGTTGAAAGGACTTCCATCTATGAATTGTATTGCACTCAAACGATGTGATAAAATAAAGGGATTTGTCCTACAAAATGGGTTACTAATTGCCTTAAACAACTCAAAACTTCTAAACTGCGAAGATGTATAAAAGGTTACTAACCTTAAATTAAGCATAATTCGCTAAGAAATCAATTAAGAGCAACATGGAATGGAGAAATGCATTTGAAGTAAACTCATAAACTAGAAAATATCCTAACTTACCCACTAACTCTAACAAGTTAATCCAATTTACTTACAAATTTAAAAGCTCATTATTCTATTAAAAAGATTTAAATTAAGAAATTACTTGCCTAAAAGTCTAATGGTAGAATGAATCTAAAATTTGGAATTACGAGGTAGATTTCAACTAAACTAAACCAATTACATAAAATAGCAATGCCTAAAAATTGACTAATTCCTTGTGTAACTACTTAAACACTACAAGAAAGCAAACCATAAGAAGAAAATTAATGCATGGTACAAGTCATGAAGAAAGCTAACATAAATCCGAAATAAATAAAGGACTTAAAGAAGTAAAATACAGAGAAAATCACTAACCAAGTCAATGGGGCTAACTTCTCAAAGAATGATGAAAGCATGAAAATGTATATTTAAAGTGCACTCAACTATTGACATTTGTGAAATTATGGGCTTTAGAGTTGTATTTTTATGCAAGTAATTTTATAAATGTTCATTCTCTTAATTGTGCAATTTTTAATGATTGAAGGTTTAATAATTAAATGGAGAGAATCACAAGAAAAGGACTTAAATGCACAGAGTTAGAAAGATGAGGGTCCAAGGATCAAATTTGGAAGTTCGAAGGCACAATTGAGATTATCTCCATTTTTGGCAAAGGAGCAAAGTATGTGAAGTTGAAGTGATAACAAGGTGTTGGAAATTGTTTTCAAGTTCCAACCCTTAATCATGCAAAAAGAAGGACAATTGAATGTGGGAAGTTAGAAAGATGAGTGTCCAAGGATCAAATTTAGAAGTTTGAGGGCTTAAGTGAGATTTTCCCCATTTTTTACAAAGGAGCACAGTACATGAAGTTGAAGTGTTAACGAGGTGTTGGAACTTGTTTTTAAGTTGCAACTCTTGACCATGTAAGAAGAAGGACAACGGAATGTGGGGAGTTGCATTCTTTTTTCAAGTTTCAACCTCTTGTCAACACATGCATAAAAAATAGAAGTATATAGGGTTTCACATCCTAATTTGAGATTTCATCCCCTATGCGAGTGGAATGCATGAAAATAAAGAAAAAAATAAAATTAATTTCTTATGATTGCTATTTCAGTTACCAAAAACTCTTATTTTACTTGCAATATAAATAAAGTATTTAAAAATAGGTTTACTCTTTCTAGAGGTTGTTCCTAGGCTTTTATTTTCTTTTTCTTTTTTTTCTTGCAATAGAGAATTATGTCAGGTGCAACTAAACTTTCAGCAATTTAGGGAGCATCTTGATTGAGGAATTTAACTTATTATTTTATTTTGATTCCTTCACAGATTTTAGTATTTAATTTTACTTTTGAGAGATTGATAATTATTTTTAGATTTGAATACGCTAAAAGTTATATTCAACAAATTTTATATAAAATTTGTCATGCTTGTTTTATGTGCATTTTGTTAGAATATAATCGATTACTAGATTTGTTTTATGAGTTGATTTATTACTGGAGTATTGTCAATTAGATATATTATCGCTCTCGGATAACTCGTAAAGATAGATTAGTTTGTTCTTTATTAAAATTAATTTCTTTCAAAATAAATATATAAGTTATTATTTTTTATCTTTAAAGATCTTTCGATTGTTTGTTTGTGATGTGAAAGATGCAATTAAATAATAAATGGGAATCAAAATTGATAACAGTTGAACAAATCAATTAAGTGAACCATAAAATCTTATTCATTATAATATTGTTTTAAATTTTTAATAATTATTATCTTTTATTCAAATATTTTTATTCTTAAATTCAAAAATCATCTTATAATTTAATTTCTTATTATGATGACTCTTTTTGTTGATTTAACATAGCTTATTTATAGATTTGACACCTAAAGTTACCTACAACAACTGCTTAGCTGAAAGGTATTAATTTTGGAGCGAGACATCAAAGAACAATAGAAAGATGCCATATTTGACGAGAGTTGTAAACAAAAGAAGAGAATTTAAACTAAAGTTATGAACAATAGCAGGTCTTTGAACTTTAGTTGGAAATTTGTGTTAATAGATGGCTAAATTGATATGGAAACTATTGTTGACTTATGCTAGGTAATTTCTTCAAGAGGGATAAGCCCAAAAATTATTTTTATCAAAAAAGTTTCCTTTTACCCCTTGGTTTGAGATGATTTTGGTGGAAATGGTTATACTTTCCATAATTGTCTATTAGTGGCTGAGTAGTTCAGCGTTTAGACCTGCAAGTCTCCCGAGAATTTTTTCAAATCTAATCACTGTAAATTTGCTTCCTTATCCAACTCAAAAGACCCAATAACATAATTCATCTGCTTGATTTTTTTACTCATCATTCTAATTTAAATGGAAAAATTAAGCTTATCACTTACCATGTATTGCTAGTTCATGGTAGTCTGGATTGCATACAATCAAATCTAGACCAACTATAAAAATATATAATTGCATGATAAGACTTTACCATTCATTGGCTCCACTTGGACATGTGATGACTCCTAATTCATTGTTATTTTGGAAGGAAACACATGCTAAAAGAAATGACCTAAAAAAAATAACCTAAAAACTCATGCAATGACAAATAAAATGTACTAGAGATGGTATTATCATTTCCCTTTCTATTCTTTCCTTTTTTTTAAAGTAAATTTCCATCCATCTTTTTTAATTGTTAATCAATTATTTTATATATAGGGAAACGTTTGTTCATAAAAAACTCTCATTCTTTAGGAAGCTATCATCTCCGTTGTTCTAACCTCCTCAGAGGAATCAAACCCATTGGATTGAAGTGTTAAGAAGATCAAGGACTCTACTTTGAAAGCCACAATGCAAAATCAAGCCTTTCCCAAAGGGGGTAGAACATGGGTTGAGCAAGTTGCCTCCTAAATTTCACAAAAGTCTCGAATGGAAGAGGGCGTTCCTGTTGCTTGTGATCTCTGATCTTTAAAAGCATTACCTTGGGTCTCTTACAAAGACAAACTCCTAGTGGTGGAAAACTAATCAATTATCTCTTTCTCCACTATCTCAAGTTATATAGATGAAGACTCAAATGTTGATGAAGATCTTAAGGATGATGCTTTGATTGTCTTCTTATCTAAGGCAAAAAAAAGGTGGATTCGAGCACCTTGGATGAACACCATTATCATCACTAAACCTTTTTGTCACAAATCATTAGAATATCACTATGTTTTCCCCAAATTAAAGCTCAATGGAAACTTGTGGGCAAATGGGATTTCATTGATTTGGGGTAGCAAAAAGGATATATTAATCCACGTACTTTTCAACCAACTTGAAATTCACCCGTCAACTTTGTTTAAAAAAATCTTTAACCCCCATACTTTAATATTGAAATAAATCCACCCACACTTTTCAATTAAAATAAATCAATCTAAATTTAACAATTGACATCATACCACGTCACATTTCGGTGAAATCCATTTCAAATACGTTATGTCATGAAATAAATCAACTCATGTACTTTTGGGTTACTTGAAATCCATCCCTCTACTTTTTTTCGAAAATTTTCAACCCACGTACTTTTTAATTGAAATAATTCAACCCAAATTTTTATAAAATCCATTTCAAACCCATTATGTCTTGATGATTTGGTATGTGTGGATCTAATTTTTTGCGATAAGTATTATTTTTAATCCTCATTGTATATATGTTGATAGTAATAAAAATGTATTCTCTTAATCTCTTTATTTAATAACAAAAATACCCTCGTTTCCTCTATTTTTAAATGGAGAATTTGGGATTTAGGGTTTCAAGTTTGGTTATACTTTTCCATTGGTGTCTTCTCCTTCTCATTCACAATCATTTTAACTAAACATTGACTCTGAGTGATGTCAGGTACTAGAATTGGCACAATCTTGTCGAACCTCCTTAAGCTATGATAAATCGTGACGAGCATGTGCAATCTCATGATGAAATCTAAGTTGGGTTAGGCTTTGACTTATCACCTCTTGAAGGATTTGCGGACCAAATGGCATAATTTAGAGCCTTAGTAGGACTCTTAGCAGATATAATGGTACCTAGTTGTTGGCATTTTAAAGGAGGAGATTTATGACTGACGAAAACAGCAACATGGGTGACTAAAACAACCCTTAGTCCTAAAAAATTATCATGAATGATAATAGAAGGGTATTTTTATCATTGAACAAAAAGGTTAGAAGAAAACATTTTTATTGTTTTGTCATTAACATATGTCTAACTAGATTAAAAATAATCTATCACACAAAAAATGGGACCCACGCGTGCCAAATTATTAAGACATAACAAGCCTGATATGGATTTCACAAAAATGCGATATGGCATGATGTCGTCCATTAAATTTAGGCTGATTTATTTTAATAAGAGAGTATGTGAATTAATTTATTTCAACACGAAAGTACATAGGTTGAAAATTTTCAAAAAAAAGAAAAAGTAGAGGAATGGATTTCAAGTAGCTCAAAAAGTATATGGGCTGATTTGTTTCACGATATAACAGACTTGAAATGTGAAATCTATTTCACAGAAAAATAATGTGGTATGATGTCATTTGTTACATTTAAGCTGATTTATTTCAATATTAAAGTACAAGGGTTAAAAAAATTTTAAGAAAAGTTGAGGGGTGGATTTCAAGTAGGTTGAAAAGTATGTGAACTAATATACCCTTTTTGCCAATATAGGGCTTGACTTTTTTTCTTGTGCATTTTTAGGATATGGAAGACCTCAACAAAGTTATATAAGATGAATCCTAGTTCATCAATTCATATTTTCTCACCATAAGGAGGTGAGAGCTAAACTTTGATTTAGAAAAGGCACTTAGAATCACTATGACCATTATGGTTTGGGTATAGCTACTCAATCTTTCTGTTGATCATTATGACTCTATTGCTTTGTAAAAAATTACGAATAAGATTGGACCTCCCCTCTATGTTGCTCCTCACATAGCCTACTATACCAAAGGAAGATATGCCAAGATATGTATGCAAATTGATCTCTCTCAACCTGTTGTCAAATAGTTAGAATATGGAAGAAAAAACAGAGGGTGGTTTATGAATCAATGCTATTTGCTTTAATTGTGGGAGGATCAAACATCATAACAATTAATTCCCTATTTCCAAATCTATTTTTGAGAACATAAATTAGGCCTCAACTACTTCAATGAAGATTTTCATGAGTAATTCTACCACCCCTGCGACCTCAAGTGATAAAGTGACAAAAGAGGATAATTCTACTAATACAATGCCTAATAAGAAAGAGGAATATGGCTTATGGATGTTAGTGGAATGCCATTAACTGAGATAAAAGAATACTTTGGCTGCAAATGCACTAGAAAAAGAGAAGGTTAGACAAAGGTTGAAGGAAATTTGCGATCAAACTGGCTTGACCCATAAACCCAATCCATGAACCCAAATTGTTAATGTTATGCTTAATTCCACTCAATCCAACGATCAAGTGGTCAGTGCAATTAATGTGAAGCCTTCCCAAAGAAAGCTATCAACAGTCATGAACTCAAAAACTGGTTCCAATGTACATAGAAGACTCAACCTAAAAGTAAGGCAATGGATTTTGAAGGATTAACTTGAAAGTCATTGTAACACCCCACATACCTTAGTGAATAATTTAAAAATTAGTGTCCTTTAGTTTATAGTTTTAGGGATTAAATTGATTGAATTTAAAATTTTGGGGGTTTTAAGTAAAACTTAATAGAAGTTGAATGGCCCTAACTCAATTGTCCCAATTTTGCTTACCACATGGCATTGTCCCAACCAAGTTTTTTTTCTTTGTCGGTGGAAACTTGGATAAGCCTCCAGAAGGCCCCTAAAAGTCCCCATTTTTTTCCTGCGTCTTCCAGCCATCCCTGCATCCTTTTCTTCCTTCTTTCTCCAGCCAAGGTTAAGGTGCTTTTTTAGGTAAGTATAAGTTTTAGTTATGAATTTGGGGTTAGAGTTTTGGATAGTTTAAATTGGTGAAATTTGACTCTAATCCTTTGGTTTATAAGATTTTTGGGTATTAGGATTTTGTTAAAAACATGTCAATTTTTGGGGTTTATATGGGAAAGACAATGAGTTATTCCTTTATATGTTTGATTTGGTCTGAATTTTTACTTGCTGGAATTATAAGTAAATTGTATTGTTCATGATTACTGTTCATAATTACTGTTTATGATTACTGTTCACGTAATTACTGTTCATGGATTACTATTCACGCACTAATTACCATTTATGCAGTACATTTCAATTTCTTTCAATATGAAATTCTATAGAATATGTGAGTTGTGTATGTGGATATTAATATGAACTTGAATTATCCATGCGATTGATTAATGGGGACATTAAATGGGATAATATCCTAATAGTATTTTGGACATATTCTGAATTTGTTTGACATGCATATGTGTTTGTGGCTATGGAGTAAGTGGACCTATGCTTAAAGCTTGGGGTATTTAGTGGACCCTTCGGGGTATTTAATAAACCTTTGCGCAGTAGGGTTAGTACTGTGATTAGCTCCAGTACAGTGTTGCTAGCACACCTCAGTGGACTCTATAGCATTATATGATTTTCGGTTTTATGCATTGCGCTTGTGACGTCGTATTTGTGAGCATATGATTTTAGTATATGAATTCAATTTAAATGTCATTGATTATTCCTTGACATGTGTGCTTATGATTTAAGATATTAAGTTATTATTTAAATAGTGAGAATTATACTATTATATGATTTGGTTCTGTTGTGTCTCACGCTCTTTGTGTGTATAGGTCTAGAGGTCTTAGGACCCAAGTTTATAGCTTAAACTTACTACTTACTGGGCTTTTAGTTCATAAAATTCCCCCTCCCCCATTTCAGATTAATAAACTGGAGTAGCGGCCACTCAGTTTAAGAGCTCTCGGTATAAATCTCGTATGCCGACCTTAGTATTTTCAATGTGAAGGCAGATTAATGTATTACCAAAACGATGATTTTGCTTTTATTATTTTAGAAAGTATTTTGAAAAGCAATTGCTCTCATGTATTTCTTTGTATAAGTTATTTTATGTATATGACATTAAGATTAATTCAAATGGGCATAGCCTGACTTATTTTATAACTTTGAGTATTTCGATATTTTTCTTAAGATATTTTTCATTTAAATAGTTCTCCCTCGCAGATGAAAGATTTTCCTTCTATAAAACTTTAAATTGTTTTGAAAGCAGATTTTCCTTAAAGGGAAACGTTTTATATAAGGAGAGCTTTTACTTTCGCTGCAATATTTTTTGTAGATAATTCCTATTGTATTTTTTATCTTGAGGAGTACATTTCCCTACTTGGTAAACTGGGAGGATTATCAAAAAGGGGACAGTCATGGTTCATTAACATAGGAAACCCATAAAGAGCACAAATTGAAGTAAATTGCTTCTATTGAACTTGAACACATATCTTAGGGTTTTCACAATATAATTTTAAAAGCCCCTACCATTAGACAGCCTAGTTTATATATTACTCATATTACTCCCTACACATGCCCTACAAATACCTATAATACACCACCTCCTATAGATAAACCTTCCTTGGAAAGCCATATTAATTCCATACCTCATAACCCTTCACTCCCCTTCCCCTTCTCCTGTAATGGAGCTGTTCCTATTTCTATCGAAACACCCATGAACCTAAGTGTTCATAATCAAGGAGCAAATGTCTATTTCAATGGAGATAGCCTTGGATGGAATTCTAAACTGTGTCCTCCAAAGGCTCTAAATGGACAATGGAGAAACTCTTTTCAGCTTGGCAAGCACCAATAATCACTAACATAAGGATCAACCTTCTAGAAATAGCCTATCATATCCCATATCCAATTGAAGACTCGAATCACGTGGATCTTTGCAAAATAGTGAACCTCGAATCTTCACCAACAAGTAAGAAAAAGCAGACCTATTGGGCCTTATCATTCTCCACATACCCAACAACTCAACGTATATACACCATTTGAAAGTTGGGATATTCTAAGGGAAGATAAAAAAAAATGCACCTATTTATTAGAGTCTATCTCTCACTCATGACTCAATTAAAAAGGGACTTCAAGATATCAATTTTGCCATACCACTTCCCGTTGGTGAGATTCCTAACTTGGCACAACCCCTCCTAATTGATTGTCATGAACCCAATGTTAGCTTAACTAGTTTTGGGACCACACCCCCATAATGACTAGATTATAAAGATCATCTTCTTGGAATTGTTGTGGAGTAGCTAAAACAAGTTTTTATAAAAGCATGATGGACTTAAAACGCATTCATAATCTTTCTATAATGCTTATTCTAGAAACCAAACTGCCTAGTCAAGATGCCAAGGAGTAAGCGAAAATTTTAAGCTTTAAAAAATCTTGCATTGTGGATTCTAAAGGCCTAGCTAAAGGCTTATGGCTACTTTGGGATGACTCTAGGATTTTTGTGGATGGATATCTCTGGGCTCCTAAGTTATCTACATAGTTATGCACGTATAAAATAACCCTTCTTTTCTTCTGATTAGTTTTTCTCGAATATTTATGGCCAACCTCAATTCAATATTAAAAGCTTGCTTTGATAATAATTGATGAGTATGACAAGTATTATATCTATTCCTTGGATGATCATTGGAGATTTCAATGCTATTTTAGATCGAAGTGAAAATTTTATGGGCAATGCGATTTCACAAACCAAAGTTAAAGCTTACTTGGATTGTATGAATGCCTATAACATGGTGGACTTGGGGTTTAGTTGCAATTGTTTTACCTAGGTTAATTTTAGATTCTGTAGGCTTTTTATTAAAGAAAGATTAGACAAGGCATAGGCTAACCTTAACTAGAAGATTGCTTCTTCAAAATCTATTGTTTTCCATCTTCCTCAAATCCCTACCTCATAATGTTAGATCTCAATCCTAACTATCCTCGTTCGAGTTCTCAACTTTTTCATGTAGAAAAAATATGGATTAATCACACAGAATTCCAAACATTGGTTCAACAAATTTGGGTTGATTATAATAAAAGAACCTCTAATTGTCTAAAAGAGACTATGCATAAAGCTAAAACCTAGAGTTATAATACTTTCGATAATATTTTTAAAGAGAAGAAGAAACTTTTGGTATGGCTTGAAGGAATTCAAGAGTCCCTTGGCCTAATTATTCTTCCTTCTTATGGCAACTTAAAGAAAGATCTACTTTAGGATTACAATAAGATTTTCAACTTTAAAGTTGAGTTTTGGCTTATAAAATCCCGTGCGAATTGGCTAGTGGTTGGTGATAATACCAAATTATTTCATTGCTTTATTGTCAAGCACAGATCGAGAAACAAAATTTATACTTCAAAAAGTTCTTAGGGTGTCTAGGTTTATGATGGTCACTCACTTGCTATTATTGCGATGGAAAACTTTAGTTATCTATTCACTACCTCATTACCTCATTCTTTTTTTGATACATATGCTGATATTGCTTATAATGCCCTCATTCTTGGGATCTAAATGAAATCAGTGGTATCCCATCTAAGAGGGAAATTATGAATGCCATCAGTTTTATGCAATCTTGTAAAGCTCTTGGCCTTGATGGCATTCATCCTTTCTTTTATCAAAAGATGTGGTCATTTATTAAATCTAATCTATTGTTGATATTCATGAGGCTTTCACTACTAGTTGCATACCTCCCAAGTAGACTGAATGTCTTTTTGCGCTCATACCTAAAGTGAAATCCCTTGAATCTATCCAATCATTTAGAACTACTAGTCTTTATAATAATGTTCTTAAAGTTGTTTCCAAAATTTTGATGCATAGAATCAAACATTGGATAGATAAGATTGTCTTACCTTATCAAGCTAGTTTTATACTAGAGTGATAAGTTACAGATAATATTCTTATTCTTCAGCAATTGGTTGCTTCCTTTAATAAGAAAACAGGTGCTATTAGCAAAATAATTTGTAAACTTGACTTAGAGAAGGCTTATGACATATTGGAATGGAGTTTTATCTATGAAACACTTATTTTCTCAAATTCTCCTTTGATATCATGCGTCTTATTATGTCCTTAATTACCTCAACCTTTACTTATATCCTCATTAATAGGGATAAAATTGAGATTTTCTTGCCTATATGTGGGATTAGGCAAGGTGACCCCGTCTCCTTGAATATCCTTATCCTTTGTATAGAACACCTCTCAATCAAGATTACCTTGGACACAGATAAAGGGCTTTAGAAGGGCTACAAAGCTAGGAGGAAGGGTCTAGTGTTTTCCCACCTCTTTTTTTGTAGATAATAACATTTTCTTGGGTAAAGCTACTATATCTAATAGAGTTCATCTCAAAAAGATTCTGGATTTTTTTCTACACTAAATCAAGTTAAAATATCAACATGTAGAAATCTAGAATCTTTTTTTTTTTTTTTGAAAATATGTTGATCAAACTTTGCGCAATTCCATATGCTCTACTTTTGGTTATAATCAAACATATGATCTAGGAAAGTATCTAGGAGCCCTAATCTTTGCTCACAAACTTAGCAAGACGAAATGTTAGCTATTATGGATAAGGTTAGTGCTAAATTATCTAGTTGGAAAACCATATTTCTTTCATTTACAAATTGTACAAATCTTGCTGGATTTGTACTAACTATTATCCTTAATTATTATATGCATTCTAATCCACTACCTGCCTTTATTCACAATGAACTAGACCAACTTTCAAAGAATTTCATATAGGGAACAGAACTAGAATATTGAAAGATTCATTTAATTGGCTAGAAGAAAGTTACTCAACCTAAAGAAACTAATGGTCTTAGGCTTAAGAGCACCGAGGAGATGAGCATTATTGCCATGTCCAAACTCAACTGGCACTTACATAAAGAAAAGGGGTAAACTCTAATCTAAGCTTTTTCGAGATAAATAATATGTTACTGATCCTCCCTCTTCTCCTTTTTTTTTTTAGGGTTCCTTCCTTAAAAAGCTCTGGACAACATAAACTTTTTTAGTGAAGGCAAAAGTTGAATCCTTAAAAATGGCCATGAAATCAGTTTCTTGGGATGATTGCTAGCTAAGTAACAGCCTCATCTCCTTCATTCTTTTTGACCCACATCTTTCTAATTATTCTTCGATTACAATTGCTAACTTTCTCTAAGCAGAACAGGATGGCCATGGCTTTGTTGGATATCAACTTCCAGGGGATATCAATTATGTGATCTGTATTACACTTATTTCCCTCTTTAATAATAGAAAGGATACTTTTACTTGGAAATACTCTTCTCAAGGTGACTTTTCTATCGCATCAGCTTATGCCATCTATAAGAACATCCCTTATTCAAAGTGTGAGTGCGACAAGTGGAAGTGGATTTGGAAATCTCGCACTATCCCAAAATTCAACATTTCATTTGGCTTTTATGTCATCAAAGGCTCAAATGTTTTGATTTGCTTTTTAAGTTTATGATAAAAAATTATTTTTATATAATTTAATTGATGTTTTGAATAGGAATCAACTTACATTGTTTTAAGTTGAGTAACACTTACACTAGTTGCTACCTCATATTTTAACGATTAATTGTTGAAATTTTAAAATAAATGACTAAAAATTAATATAACACTTATGCCAATATAAATTAAGAGATTTATATATTTCAATTTAAATTGCACATTAAAAGTGCAGTCTCAATATTAAAATTAGTAAGTTACCCTTATAGATATAAGAAAAAGTTTTATTAAGAATATTTTAATAATTATTTTTATGTAATAAGTTAAAAACAATTTGAATTTTTCTTCAATTATTATTTTATTTGTAAAATAAAAGTATCAACATGCAAACTATTCATTCTACTCTCACCTAAAACTTGTAAAAAAATTCCTCCTCTTCACTAGCTATTTTCCATTTTTAGGAATGCATTAGAATGCAAAAACTAGAATTGTTGGATAGTTGCCAAACACCCACAATATCA